CCTGTGTGTCTGTCTGTCTGTCTACCTATCTGTCTGCCTGTGTGTCTACCTGTGTGTCTCCCTGTCTGTCTACCTGTCTGTCTACCTATCTGTCTGCCTGTGTGTCTACCACTCTGTCTGTCTGTCTGTCTGTCTGTCTGCCTGTGTGTCTACCTGTGTGTCTACCTATCTGTCTACCTGTCTGTCTACCTATCTGTCTGCCTGTGTGTCTAACTGTGTGTCTACCGCTCTGTCTGTCTGCCTGTCTGCCTGTGTGTCTACCTATCTGTCTACCTGTCTGTCTGCCTGTCTGTCTGCCTGTGTGTCTACCTGTCTGTCTGTCTACCTGTGTGTCTGACAGATGGCAGATGGCAGCAGCAGTCCTAACAGCAGGAGGTGAGTTGAATGTGTATCTTATGACTGTATTTATTGTTTGGTTAATAAAGGAAGGTATCGTCTGCATAAAGTCGGATCATGATGAGAACTGATGGCAGTTTGAAGCTTTGACTCTGCTTTCTATTTGCTGGTTTAGACTATGAGCTGCAGGTCAGCCTGTCGGAGGCTCTGTGTCGTCTGACCCTAAGGAAGGACCGCGAGCAGAGAGCCAATCAGTGGTTCTCAAGCCGTGGTATCAGCAGTGCCTTCTGTGACATCAGAGACGGAGACTTTGAAGTGGTAGGATAGTGGCACCTGACGTCTGGTTTGAGCACCTGTCTCTCTACCTGTCTGTCTCTGACCGATCTCTCTCTCTTTTTCTCCAGGACTGTCGCCGTTTTCTGAACTTTGTCAATGGTTACCATGGAGACCAGAGGAGGTGATGAACCTTTAAAAAACCTAAATGAGTCAAAATATGTGAAAGCTGACTTTGCTCTGTCTTTCAGGGTCTACACCTTCCCCTGTCTCCGAGCTTTCCTTGACTCTACGGAGGTAAAACATTGAACCCATTAACACGGCAGACTCCCGGAAGCACACAGGTTTACTGCATGTTCTCTTCCTTCAGCTGTTTCGTCCAAAAGACGAGAAACTGGACGAGTTTTGGATCGATTTTAACCTCAGTTCAGGATGTGTGAGCTTCTTCATTGATGAACCTCAGGTGCTTCTCTGAACTCCACTGTTACAAAGTTATGCTCCCGTCATACTTTAATCAGTTTAAAATCTGTTTCCTGGTTCTTTTTGTGGTTCTCAGGGTTTCCTGTGGGGGTCTATACACCTGCTGAAGGACGAAGTGGATCATTTCAGTGTTCAGCACAAACACGATGGTTTCTCTGTTTTAACTGCTCTGTAGTTTATAACTTAAATCAACGCTTGGATCAGTTTTCTTATCAACATGATCAAACTCTTTATATCCCAGGATGCACTGTGGCAGAGACCGTCCTCCGCGTCAGACTCAGCAATCCCATTTTGCACCACAACAGCCGAGGTCAAACTGTAGAGCTGACCTTCAACTCTGAGCATCAGCGAGACCTGGAGGAGGCTGCCGGGAGAGTCTTCACGGTATCTGTCTGTCAGCAGACCTGTCTGTCTGCACACCTGTCTGTTTACACTTCTGTCTGTTTACACTCCTGTCTGTCTGCAAAACAGTCTGTTTAAACTCCTGTCTGTCTGCACACCTGTCTGTTTACACTCCTGTCTGTCTGCAAACCCCTCTCTGCCCACCTGTCTGTTTACACTCCTGTCTGTCTGCACACCTGTCTGCTTACACTCCTGTCTCTCTGCCAACCTGTCTGTTCACACTCCTGTCTGTCTGCACACCTGTCTGTTTACACTCCTGTCTCTCTGCCCACCTGTCTGTTCACACTCCTGTCTGTCTGCACACCTGTCTGTTTACACTCCTGTCTCTCTGCCCACCTGTCTGTTTACACTCCTGTCTGTCTGCACACCTGTCTGTTTACACTCCTGTCTCTCTGCCCACTTGTTTGTTTACACTCCTGTCTCTCTGCCCACCTGTCTGTTTACACTCCTGTCTGTCTGCACACCCGTCTGTTTACACTATTGTCTGTCTGCACACCTGTCTGTCTGCACACCTGTCTTTCTGCACACCCGCCTGTTTACACTCCTGTCTGTCTGCACACCTGTCTGTTTACACTCCTGTCTGTCTGCACACCCGTCTGTTTACACACCTGTCTGTCTGCACACCTGTCTGTCTGCACACCTGTCTGTTTACACTCCTGTCTCTCTGCCCACCTGTCTGTTTACACTCCTGTCTGTCTGCACACCCGTCTGTTTACACTACTGTCTGTCTGCACACCTGTCTGTCTGCACACCTGTCTGTTTACACTCCTGTCTGTCTGCACTCCCGTCTGTTTACACTATTGTCTGTCTGCACACCTGTCTGTCTGCACACCTGTCTGTTTACACTCCTGTCTCTCTGCCCACCTGTCTGTTTACACTCCTGTCTGTCTGCACACCCGTCTGTTTACACTACTGTCTGTCTGCACACCTGTCTGTCTGCACACCTGTCTGTTTACACTCCTGTCTGTCTGCACTCCCGTCTGTTTACACTATTGTCTGTCTGCACACCTGTCTGTCTCTTTAAATGGGTTTTTCTTTGATAAATGGGATTATGTTCACATATAAATGTTTAAATTAATGCATTAAAGATGATAATAATAATACGTTTTTAATTGAGGCTTTGAGAGTATTTGACCGACAAATACGTAGAAATGCTCCTGATATCAGCCTATCAGTATTTAGTTTTTTGGTTGTTGATGTGTCGCACTGTAGTTGATGTTTCAGACTGTAGTTTGTGTCGGCCTGTAGATGATGTGTCAGACTGTAGTTGATGTTTCAAAGTGTAGTCTGTGTCAGACTGTAGATGATGTTTCAGAGTGTAGTTTGTCAGCCTATAGATGATGTGTCAGACTGTAGTTGATGTTTCAGACTGTAGTTTGTCAGACTGTAGTTTGTGTCAGACTGTAGATGATGTTTCAGACTGTAGATGATGTGTCAGACTGTAGTTTGTGTCAGACTATAGATATGTTTCAGACTGTAGATGATGTTTCAGACTGTATTTTGTGTCAGACTGTATTTTGTGTCAGACTGTAGATGATGTTTCAGACTGTATTTTGTGTCAGACTGTATTTTGTGTCAGACTGTAGATGATGTTTCAGACTGTATTTTGTGTCAGACTGTATTTTGTGTCAGACTATAGATGATGTTTCAGACTGTAGATGATGTGTCAGACTGTAGTTTGTGTCAGACTATAGATGATGTTTCAGACTGTAGACTGTGTCAGACTGTAGTTTGTGTCGGACTATAGATGATGTTTCAGACTGTAGATGATGTGTCAGACTATAGTTTGTGTCAGACTGTAGATGATGTCTCAGACTGTAGATGATGTTTCAGAGTGTAGTTTGTGTCAGACTGTAGATGATGTGTTAGACTGTAGTTTGTCAGACTGTAGATGATGTTTCAGACTGTAGTTGTGTCAGACTGTAGTTTGTGTCAGACTATAGATGATGTTTCAGACTGTAGATGATTTGTCAGACTGTAGTTTGTGTCAGACTGTAGATGATGTTTCAGACTGTAGTTGTGTCAGACTATAGATGATGTTTCAGACTAGATGATGTGTCAGACTATAGTTTGTGTCAGACTGTAGATGATGTTTCAGACTGTAGTTTGTGTCAGACTGTAGATGTCTCAGACTGTAGATGATGTTTCAGACTGTAGTTTGTGTCAGACTAATTTGTTTCAGACTGTAGTTTGTGTCAGACTATAGATGATGCGTCAGACTGTAGTTTGTGTCACACTATAGATGATGTGTCAGACTGTAGTTTGTGTCAGACTGTAGATGATGTTTCAGACTGTAGTTTTTCAGACTGCAGATGATGTGTCAGACTGTAGTTTGTGTCAGACTAGATGATGTTTCAGACTGTAGTTGTGTCAGACTGTAGATGATGTCTCAGACTATAGATGATGTTTCAGACTGTAGATGTGTCAGACTGCAGTTTGTGTCAGACTATAGATGATGTTTCAGACTGTAGTTAGTGTCAGACTGTAGATGATGTTTCAGACTGTAGTTTGTGTCAGACTGTAGATGTCTCAGACTGTAGATGATGTTTCAGACTGTAGTTTGTGTTAAACTGTAGATGATGTTTCAGACTGTTGTTTGTGTCAGACTGTAGATGATGTTTCAGACTGTAGTTTGTGTTAGACTGTAGTTTGTGTCAGACTGTAGATGATGTTTCAGACTGTAGTTTGTGTCAGACTGTAGATGATGTTTCAGACTGCAGATGATGTGTCAGACTAGATGATGTTTCAGACTGTAGTTGTGTCAAACTATAGATGTGTCAGACTGTAGTTTGTGTCAGACTGTAGTTTTTCAGACTGCAGATGATGTGTCAGACTAGATGATGTTTCAGACTGTAGTTGTGTCAGACTGTAGTTTGAGTCAGACTATAGATGATGTGTCAGACTGTAGTTTGTGTTAGACTATAGATGATGTTTCAGACTGTAGTTTGTGTCAGACGAGATGTTGTTTTAGACTGTAGTTGTGTCAGACTGCAGTTTGTGTCAGACTATAGTTTGTGTCAGACTGTAGATGATGTTTCAGACTGTAGTTGTGTCAGACTGCAGTTTGTGTCAGACTATAGTTTGTGTCAGACTGTAGATGATGTTTCAGAGTGTAGTTTGTCAGCCTATAGATGATGTGTCAGACTGTAGTTGATGTTTCAGACTGTAGTTTGTGTCAGACTAGATGATGTTTCAGACTGTAGTTGTGTCAGACTATAGATGTTGTGTCAGACTGTAGTTTGTGTCAGACTATAGATGATGTTTCAGACTGTAGTTGTGTCATATTGTAGACGATGTGATAGGATCAATGTTAATCCCCCCATTCACTCATAACAACATTCACCATCAGCTTAATGCCAATGTTCCGGTGTTACAGAGACAGATGTTTCTTAGAGGGACACGGATGTTAAGTATTTCCTAGGACCATCAGCTGTTCTCTCTCCTCCAACACACAGAAAGAAAAGAGTTCTACCCACATTAAAGGTCCAGGTGGTTCAATCCAGGTTCACTGCCCCTCTGCAGGCAGACAGAGTGGTAGATCCTACAGCAGGAAGAAACCACAGAGCAAGAGTCAACTGAAGAGTGAGTGTGTTCACACACAAAATTACATGAAATATGAATAACCAACAGAAAAATCGTTTTTAGCTCAGTTAAGCGGGGTACACACTACAAGATAATCAGGCTGATTTTGGGCTCAACCAAAGTCACCAAGGCCTGATTATCTTGCCAGATTCCACCATGGTGTGAGGCGTGTGATTTTAACCTCCCCGATCTGCTCGGAAGACGATCAGGGTCGCTCCGATTTGAAACCGTAAATATTAAACATGTTCTATATTTACGATTAGAAATCCTGTTGGAACTGAACAACAGCCAATAGGGAAGCAAGCTGACTGAAGCAGGAAGCACAACTAACATAACCATGGCAACGACAGCAAATGCCAAGCATAAAGTAAAATGGATGTCATAAATATAAGACCAGCTTGTTGCTTTGTGGGAACAACACAATGTTTCTACAACGTGTCTGTTAAACAAACAACAATCCAACTGACAAGGAAAAGAGTTGGACCAAATGGATATACCAGCTAACAGCTAGCCACATTTAGCTTGTTAGCTTGACCATCATGTTTAATAATATATATAGTATTCTGTTTCAACAAAGCTTTTAATCAGCATGAGAAGATAAGATATGAAATGTTGGAAGAATGTGTGTGAACATCTCATGTCAGCTAACGGCTAACAGCTAATATCTTTCTGTCTGTGTGTTCAGTCTTACCTCTGTCGTCTCCCGGCAGTGAAGAAGACTCCTCAGTAACAAAGGTAACTACTCTGTAATAAACTACACCATAAAGCTACACTGTAAAAACAACTGTTAAAAGTACACTGTATAACAGCAGCTGCTATACGCTAAGTGAGATCAATGTTGAACTGTTTTGTTGTTACAGACTCCGAGGCGACACTCTGCAGAGTTCCTGTTTGATCAGATCATACACTCAACTCCCACATACTGCTCAGGTCAGACTGAATTTAACTGCTGCTGGTTTACAGTGTAACAAACACAGGTGATGGCTGGACCAGAACCTCTTCACGTTCATGTTAGTCATTCAGTCAATCAAACGACCACAAAGAGATCAAAAATAGGACCGTTTGGTGACTGCTTCAAAATAAAAGCCTGAATGTTTCCACCTGGCGAAACAGTTGCAGGAAATATTGTGCTAGCATTAACAGCAAGCTAACCTGGCTCAGGCAAAGGCAGAGTTAAGAAAAACGGTAATACTGCAGCTTTTATTGTCGAGGAAACCTTAACTTGATGTACGAATGCCAGAAACCTGGTCTGTTTGAAACCACTACGTTACTAGAATTATGCAGAAATCCAAAAATACACAGACAAATCGACATTATGCATCAGACCAGTCTCCCTTGTGTACCGTTTCCCACAATGCACAGCGCCAAGTTAGAGATGAAAATGGCAGCAGTGTCCATCGCAACAGAGGAAATAATCTCAATCAGAGCAAAGCACATAAAGAGACCTCCGGTTCTCTTTGTTGATTCTCTAAATCATGAAAATCTAAATGAATGGGCTGGTCTGTTGTTCAGCTTAGCCTGGTGTACTGCAGAATAACCACAGACTGGAGGTCACACTACACACTGCTGTCCAACGGAGTATTCAGTACTGCATACTATGTTTAATAGTAGTATGTAGTAAGCTTTCAAACAGTCATGGATTTTACCTCTCTTTCTCTTAGGTGTTCCTTTAGGGGTGGAGCTTCAGATCTCAAAGGAACAAACAGAGGAGTTTGGAGGAAGAAGCTCCCCTTTGAAAAAGGTTGAATTCAGATTTTGCTTAAATAACAAACATCAGCTGTTTCCTGTTTTCCGCTAACCACTTTTTTATTTTTTTAAGCAGGAATTCTTGAGCTCAAACAGGAAAAGAGCCGCTCCAGAGTCAGGTGTCCATTCTTTTACTTCATTTAAATCTTTAATCTGTCTTTCTGGTGCAGGCAGAAGCAGTCATTCACAAAGGACAGTTACATGATAACTCTTGTTCTGTTTTAAAGCAATGTTAAATGTTTGAGTCCTGGTGTTTTTCTCTGGTGTAGGCTATTTGTCAGACCAAACTGAGGGTATGTGGGCCCACAAGAGGGCGGAGCCTCACTCAGAGAGGGAGGAGTCTATCTCAGTACTGATAGGTGGTTTGTCAGACTCCTTTCTATAGTCTTGTTAAAGTTGAATGAATTACTTTGCTTCATAAATCTTGTGCTCACCTGTCTCAGAGTCCTCACCTGAGGGGGCGGAGCCAGCAGAGGATGAGGAGGAGTTATTTGAGGAATTGACTGGTCCACTTGAGGAAAAGGATGAGTCTGTAGTAGAGTCAGAGGCGGAGCCAAAATCAGACCTGACATCTGGTGTCACAGCAGCCTTCAACACCTTTAAATCACAGCTGGAACAAAACTTCACTGTCAGTATACACACAGGTAACAATGACTGAACAATAACTACCAGTAATCATTAATCAACGTTATTATCCTTTTTTTAGGAAAGCTGGAAGAACGTGGAAGCTGAAATTCTTCTGTCTTTAAAAGAATGTCAACAACATGTTTCATCCCTGCTGACAGCTGTCCATCAACACAGGTAAGCCCCACCTGTCCATCAACACAGGTAAGCCCCACCTGTCCATCAACACAGGTAAGCCCCACCTGTCCATCAACACAGGTAAGCCCCACCTGTCCATTAACACAGGTACCGCCCACCTGTCCATCAACACAGGTACCGCCTACCTGTGATTAACACAGGTACCGCCCACCTGTCCATCAACACAGGTACCGCCTACCTGTGATTAACACAGGTACCGCCCACCTGTCCATCAACACAGGTACCGCCTACCTGTGATTAACACAGGTACCGCCCACCTGTCCATCAACACAGGTACCGCCCACCTGTCCATTTACACAAGGTACCGCCCACCTGTCCATTAACACAGGTACCGCCTACCTGTGATTAACACAGGTACCGCCCACCTGTCCATCAACACAGGTACCGCCCACCTGTCCATTTACACAGGTACCGCCCACCTGTCCATCAACACAGGTACCGCCTACCTGTCATTAACACAGGTATCGCCCACCTGTCCATCAACACAGGTACCGCCTACCTGTTCATTAACACAGGTACCGCCCACCTGTCCATCAACACAGGTACCGCCCACTTGTCCATTTACACAGGTACCGCCCATCTGTCCATTTACACAGGTACCGCCTACCTGTTCATTAACACAGGTATCGCCCACCTGTCCATCAACACAGGTACTGCCCACCTGACCATTAACACAGGTACTGCCCACCTGTCCATTAACACAGGTACTGCCCACCCCAACACACCTGCCTGTCAACACAAGGTACCGCCCACCTGTCCATCAACACAGGTACTTCCCACCTGTCTATTGTGTGTGTGTGTGTGTGTGTGTGTAGGTTATTGTTGCTGCAGAGGTTTGACATCAGTGTAAACGATCAACTGAAGCGTCTGCAGGAGAACTCGACCAGCCTGAACTCCATGAACACTCACATCCTGGTACTTACAGTAAAAACAGTGATTAGTGTTTTAGTAAAGACCAGAATCCAGAGCAGGTTTAGTCCTCAAACCTGGTGTTCTCTTTTCAGAGTTATTTTCACACTGAGATGCAGCGACTCGGCTCTTTCTGTGATGAACATCTGCACAGGTGATTATGGCACGCAGTAAACCTGTCTACACTAACGCCATCTGGTTTGGATCCTGTTCAGACCTTATCTGACTCTCTGGATCTGAATTTTGTTACCTCAGGTTGAAGACTTTAGAGAGTGGAGGGTCCAGCATGGAGGGTCCAGCCAGCCAATGAGAGAAGATGAGAGGATGCCTCTGGACTGATCAGAGCTGTCTGTTTTTGTTCCACTCACCAAATGTTCAGATTTAACACTTTTGTATTTCCCCATTGTTAAAGTATCTGATTTTTTTGTTTTGCTGAAGGTTAAAAAACAAATAAAGAATACAAAACAGATCAAATCAATTGAGTTGTACCTCCAACACACTGTTGACCTGAAGTGTGTTCTGTAAAGGGCCACAAGGGGGAGACAAACCCGCTACATCAGAAAACAGAAGGAACTGAATTATATCTCTCACATTAAAGGTGTGAATTAAGATTTAGATCAACTTAATTTTCTCCTCCAGGAAAGCAGTGTGAGCATTCATGAACAGGTTTTAATTTATTACAGATACAAATGAGACTTTAAGCCCTAAAACACATAATAAACACCGACATGGATACTATAAGATCAAAGGAGAATATTTAGAGTTGATTGAATGTAATGGATAAAAACATTATTAGACACATTATCTGTATAACGACTGGCTACAGATCAGACATAGTGAACCAGGTCTAACAGAGTCCGGACCAGGAGAGACTCAGTGTTTGTTTGTGAGCCGGCTGGTTGTCAGGCAGCAAACTGACACAAGAGGAAAAACAGTCAAATCCCCCGAAGAGACAAAAAAACAGCAAGAGGACTAATGAGACACTAATAGAGGAGGGGAGGGGGGGGCAGAGAGAGAGACGCTCAGGTGTTCATCTCACTGTGCAACAACACATCAGAGAACCACCACGAGATCTGCTTTGTTTTGGACTCTACCTGGACAGACGGGGTTGCTGATTGGTTGAAAAGCTGTTTTTTTCTTTGGACTTTAATGGACGGAAAAGGAAACATTCAGGTGTGGACGGCTCAGTGATCACCAACAGCTACAGGTCAGAACAACCAACTGGGTTTACTGGTTTCATTGAGCTCACATACTGGGTTTGTTGGTTTTGCTGGGCTCACATACTGGGTTTACTGGTTTCATTGGGCTCACATGCAGGGTTTACTGGTTTTGCAGGGCTCACATACTGGGTTTACTGGTTTCATTGGGCTCACATACTGGGTTTACTGGTTTTGCAGGGCTCACATACTGGGTTTACTGGTTTCATTGGGCTCACATACTGGGTTTACTGGTTTTGCAGGGCTCACATACTGGGTTTACTGGTTTCATTGGGCTCACATACTGGGTTTACTGGTTTCATTGGGCTCACATACTGGGTTTACTGAGCTCACATACTGGGCTTACTGGTTTTACTGGGTGTATTTGTTGCTCATAGCCTTATACATACGTGAACTTTTCAACACAGCACATTTTGTATTTAAATTTGTAAAATATTCCATCCCCTGTGCTTTAAACATAATTTATTATTCTTCTGATTCTCTCACTGTGCTTATTGCTTCTTCTATTTATTTATGAGAGAGAGAGAGAGAGAGGTGCCAGGTCTCCCGCCAGTTTAAGCCTATAACAGCATAACTAGGAGCTGGTCCATACCTGAACCAGCTCTGACTATAAGATTTATCAAAAAAGTAAAGTTTCAATCCTACCCCTAGCAGGTACCACGAGCAGGCCTGATAACTGAAGGCTCTACCTCCCATAGTACACTTAGAGACTGTAGGTACCACGAGCAGGCCTGATAACTGAAGGCTCTACCTCCCATAGTACATTTAGAGACCGTAGGTACCACGAGCAGGCCTGATAACTGAAGGCTCTACCTCCCATAGTACATTTAGAGACCGTAGGTACCACGAGCAGGCCTGATAACTGAAGGCTCTACCTCCCATAGTACATTTAGAGACCGTAGGTACCACGAGCAGGCCTGATAACTGAAGGCTCTACCTCCCATAGTACATTTAGAGACCGTAGGTACCACAAGCAGGCCTGATAACTGAAGGCTCTACCTCCCATAGTACATTTAGAGACTGTAGGTACCACGAGCAGGCCTGATAACTGAAGGCTCTACCTCCCATAGTACATTTAGAGACTGTACCACGAGCAGGCCTGATAACTGAAGGCTCTACCTCCCATAGTACATTTAGAGACTGTACCACGAGCAGGCCTGATAACTGAAGGCTCTACCTCCCATAGTACATTTAGAGACTGTACCACGAGCAGGCCTGATAACTGAAGGCTCTACCTCCCATAGTACATTTAGAGACTGTAGGTACCACTAGCAGGCCTGATAACTGAAGGCTCTACCTCCCATTGTACATTTAGAGACTGTAGGTACCACGAGCAGGACTGATAACTGAAGGCTCTACCTCCCATTGTACATTTAGAGACTGTAGGTACCACTAGCAGGCCTGATAACTGAAGGCTCTACCTCCCATTGTACATTTAGAGACCATAGGTACCACGAGTACACCAGGCCTGGCTAAAGCTGGTTTCTGGTCTTGAAATGAGGAAGTGAACAACAGACTAGCTGACGTCAAAAGCCGCTACAGTAGCGTCCACTTAGAGTCTAAAAACAGCTGACGAGAGATCATTTAGAGAACTTGAGGTTTTTGTGTGGTTTATTTCCTCTGTTACGATGGACGCTGCTGTCCGTCATTTTGACCTCTTACCTGACCCTTTGCATTGTAGGAAACAGGCTGGTTGAACTGGTAGGGTTCTCACTGGTTGTACTGGTATTGTTCTTACTGGTTGAACTGGTAGGGTTCTCACTGGTTGTACTGGTATTGTTCTTACAGGTTGAAATGGTAGGGTTCTTACTGGTTGAACTGGCAGGGTATTTACTGGTTGAACTGGTAGGGTATTTACTGGTTGAACTGGTAGGGTTCTCACTGGTTGAACTGGTATTGTTCTTACTGGTTGAACTGGTATTGTTGTCACTAGCTGTAATGTTATTGTTGTCACTGGTTGAACTGGTTTCTGTGGTTGCAGGTGAGATGGGCTGTCTGGGAGGGAAGACGGAGGAAGAACGTCTGGATGAAAAAGCGAAACGTGAAGCGAACAAGAAGATCGAGAGACAGCTGCAGAAAGAGAGGCAGGCGTACAAAGCTACACACAGACTGTTACTACTCGGTGAGTCTGTCGCTCACCTATCTTCTACTTAGCTTCACGTCTGTCTTTCCAACCTTCACCCTCTCATCCGTCTCTCTCTCACCTGTCTGTCCGCAGGAGCAGGAGAATCAGGTAAAAGTACCATCGTGAAGCAGATGAGGATTCTTCATGTTGACGGTTTTAACGTTGAGTGAGTTCAACTTTTATTGCTTTATTCAAACCACTGAGTGTCCAGGTGTTCATCTCTGTGTGATTAATACTTTCTTATATTTGAGGAAATATCACCAAGAGAACATGAAACAAAGGAAACCTATCGTGTCCTGGTGTTAGCTGCAGCTCTACACCTGAAATTGTTCCCTCGAAAAGACGAGTTGGATTAATTTCTCCTCCACCATTGTTGTTGACAAAGCTTCTTGATTCTGATTGGTCATTAAGGAAGAGTGACCCTGATGGGCATGTTTGTGTTATACACTTAGAGTGCGGGTAGAACAGTTAGAGCGTTTGACTGACAGGCCTTCACACCCGAGGTCTGCTCTGATGAAATCTTTGTTTTCAGAGAGAAGCAGCAGAAGGTTCAAGACATCAGGAAGAATGTGAAGGATGCCATTGTGGTACGTCACCTCACCTGTATCACATCACCTGTATCACCTCACCTGTATCACATCACCTGTATCACCTCACCTGTATCACATCACCTGTATCACCTCATCTGTATCACATCACCTGTATCACCTCATCTGTATCACCTCACCTGTATCACCTCACCTGTATCACCTCACCTGTATCACCTCACCTGTATCACCTCACCTGTATCACCTCACCTGTATCACCTCATCTGTATCACATCACCTGTATCGCCTCACCTGTATCGCCTCACCTGTATCACCTCACCTGTATCACATCACCTGTATCACCTCATCTGTATCACATCACCTGTATCACCTCACCTGTATCACCTCACCTGTATCACCTCACCTGTATCACATCACCTGTATCACCTCACCTGTATCACATCACCTGTATCACCTCACCTGTATCACCTCACCTGTATCGTCATTTATGTAATTAAAACATTAAAATGTTGGTGTGTGTGTGTGTTACAGACCATCGTGTCAGCCATGAGTATGCTGACTCCGCCCATTCCTCTGGGTAACCCTGGCAACCAGTTCAGAGTTGAGTACATCAAGAGCATCGCCCCGCTGTCTGACGTTGAATACACTGAGGTAACACACACGCACACACACTTTGTGTTGAATCATTATGTTCTTGTGATCACATTAATGAAGGATAAATTATTATTATTAGAGGCTCTGTAGTTTGCAGGTTTGTAGTAATAAATAACAACATCATGATGCAGATTAGCAGACTCCTTAGTGTGAGCGTGACGTGCTGATAGAAACAGCAGAACCATGTTCAGAGAATTTCATTGGCTACAAGAAATGTCAGTCATTGGCACGGTCGTGTAAAATTGGCCGTCAGAAAAGGGGGCAGTACCTCCTTTCAACAAAGGCTCTCATTGGCTGTTATAGGCTGCTATCAAGTGTCAAATAAAGGTTAGCGGAGCTTTTTGAACAGTTCAGTGGATTGTTCTGGACGTGATGTGTTTGGATTCAAACTCTGGATCTAAATAGTGGTTCAGTTCAGTTTGGTGGATTATTAAGATCAGGAGAGTTCAGTCAATCTAGAAATGGTTAGAAGACGTTTGTTTGTTGCTGGTCTGACCCTCACACACACTGGACCAGTGTGTGTGCTATACACTTAGAGTGCGGGTAGAACAGTTAGAGCGTTTGACTGACAGGCCTTCACACCCGAGGTCTGCTCTGATGAAATCTTTGTTTTCAGAGAGAAGCAGCAGAAGGTTCAAGACATCAGGAAGAATGTGGTTATGGTTATGGTTGGATATGGTTATTAGGTCACATGATGACATGAGTTAGAAAAACGTCCTATCATAGAATAAATTGTTGTTCCAAGATAAGAAGACAAAAAGGTTTAATGGTTAAACGCAAATGAGAATGTGGAGCAATGAGCGCAAAAAACAACAAAACTTTCAACTGTCAGTCGACTTTGAGCTGAATCTGAAGAATCACGCTCCACTGAGTCCAAGTCAGGTCTGTACTCAAGGGGAGAAGAAAACTCCTTTATATGATGTTTGTTTGTTGAATGGAGGCCGGACCAATCGTTTTCATTCAAGTCAGGAAATCATAACACAGTTTGTGATCCAGCATCGAGCAGATCTGTGGCTCAATTTGAAATGTCTTGAAGTAGAACAGATATTCTGTTGATCAATAAATAATCATCTGAACACTGCAGAGGAGCTGCTATGTCATTAGCCTGGGTCATTTCCTGCTGATACATGATTGGTAAATACAGCTGGGACAACAAACAGAAACCAGAACACTTCACCCTGTGTACATAGAGATTTTCATGTTTATTAAAGTTGAGCTGTGGATCTAAAATTATTCCTAAGAACTAGAACTCATGAACCTTCTCTATTTCCGACCATTTAAACTTTCGGGTCGGACAGTTTTCTGATGGAGAAACCGAAACAGTTGGGCAGCCGGCCTCAGGGCAAGTTATATTTATAATCATTTATAAACAGACTAAATAGCAAAGGGCCAAGAACTGAGCCTTGGGGAATACCTTCTTGGTCAATGTTCACACTGTGTTCTAAAGACAGAAGAGTTTCATGGTTAACAGAGTCAACAGGTCTCACCTGAAGGCAGCCATGAGCAAGTGAACTGTTCCTTTGAAGCACCACAAGAGTCTGTTGTTTGTTTAAATGATGATAATGACATGATGTAAGAGGTGAACATGGGATTCAACCGTGTGTGTGTGTGTGTGTGTGTGTGTGTGTGTGTGTGTGTGTGTGTGTGTGTGTGTGTGTGTGTGTGTGTGTGTGTGTGTGTGTGTGTGTGTGTGTGTGTGTGTGTGTGTGTGTGTGTGTGTGTGTGTGTGTGTGTGTGTGTGTGTGTGTGTGTGTGTGTGTGTGTGTGTGTGTGTGTGTGTGTGTGTGTGTGTGTGTGTGTGTGTGTGTGTGTGTGTGTGTGTGTCCACCCACCTGAGGCCTCATTATCCAAACATCTCCTGTCTCTAAAGACATAAAGAGACAAAACAAACATCTTCCTGTGTCTTATCTTCTGCAGTTTTTGACACACATGTATGCAAGCACACGTAAACCTTAAATGACTACACAGATCATCACCTGAACAGGCTGATGTTGAAACATGTAATTTGTATTATTTATATGTTTAATAAATAAAAGGGAGTGAATGAACACTTTTTTTTACGTTCTCGTTCTGTTCACTGAACAAAAAACCTTTAAAAAAAAACTGCTTAAAGGGAAAATGTTGTAGTCTCTGAAATCTTGAATGTGAATTTTCTGACCTTTCTGCGTGGACTTTGTGATCGCTGCTGAACAGTTTGTTTGATTTGTACATTTATTTTTACTTAAGTTTAATTTCTTATTAAAGACTCTTCCAGTGAACGTGTGGGAACAAGTTGTTGTTAATCATAGAATAAAAATGATCATTTGGACTACATGGGCGTTCTCCAGGTGTTCCTCAGGGCTCTATTCTTAGTCGTCTTTTATTCTCCACAGATATAAACTCTGTGATTTTCATGTCTTCTTTGTCCATCATTAATCTGTTTATTCTCGTGTCTCTCTCGCAGGACTTCTTTGAGCATGCTCAGAAGCTGTGGGAAGACGACGGCGTGAAGGCGTGTTTCGAACGCTCCAATGAATATCAGCTGATTGACTGCGCTAAGTTGTAAGACAAACACGAAACAGTGCAGACTGGCAAAACGGACACACACACTGACTCAGACTTCCTCTCAACATTTTTTCCCAATGGACCAATCATAATGCTCTGCTAACCCTGAGGGGGCGGATGCTTCATTACGTTAAGAATAGAATAACCAAATCGTGTGTGTGTGTGTTCTCAGCTTTCTGGACAGGTTAGACTCAGTCAGAAAAACGGACTACACACCTACTGACCAGGTAATGAACCAGCCAATCACATCGCAGCCTTGTGATGACTCGGATGTTTTTAAATGGTTTTTCTTCTTCTCCTGCAGGATCTGTTGCGCTGTCGTGTTTTGACTTCAGGGATTTTTGAAACCAGGTTTCAGGTCGACAAGGTCAACTTCCAGTGAGTCTTAAGACCCGCCCCCTCAGTCCACCTGCATCAATTACCTGTCTCTTCTGTTTGACTGCTGCAGTTAGTTATTGAAGCATTATGGGAACTGTAGTTTCAACAGTCAGATCAAATATTATCATGTTTACATATTTTGAACCATTCTTTATCTTCTAGTGACATTTATTTAAAATATTTACCTGTTCGTTAATTACCTGACAAACACACCTGTCTGTCTGTCAGTATGTTTGATGTAGGAGGACAGCGCGACGAGCGCAGGAAGTGGATTCAGTGCTTTAATGGTGAGTAATATTTATGAATAGTTGAATTTAACATACAGGTGTACAGGTGTGTGTGAACAGACAGACAGGTCTCTGTGAACGGACAGGTGTGTGTGAACAGACAGACAGGTGTGTGTGAACAGACAGACAGGTGTGTGTGAACAGACAGACCGGTCTCTGTGAACAGACAGGTGTAAACAGGTGTGTGTGAACAGACAGACAGGTGTGTGTGAACAGACAGACAGGTCTCTGAACAGACAGACAGGTCTCTGTGAACAGACAGGTGTGTGTAAACAGACAGGTCTCTGTGAACAGGCAGGTGTGTGTGAACAAACAGACAGGTGTGTGTGAACAGACAGGTGTGTGTGAACAGGCAGGTGTGTGTGAACAGGCAGGTGTGTGTGAACAAACAAACAGGTGTGTGTGAACAGGCAGGTGTGTGTGAACAGGCAGGTGTGTGTGAACAGGCAGGTGTGTGTGAACAAACAGACAGGTGTGTGTGAACAGACAGACAGGTGTGTGTGAACAGACAGACAGGTGTGTGTGAACAGACAGACAGGTGTGTGTGAACAGACAGACAGGTGTGTGTGAACAGACAGGTGTGTGTGAACAGACAGACAGGTGTGTGTGAACAGACAGGTCTCTGTGAACAGACAGGTGTGTGTGAACAGACAGACAGGTCTCTGTGAACAGACAGGTGTGTGTGAACAGGTGCTGAGTCTGAGTCTTTTTCAGATGTGACCGCCATCATCTTTGTGGCGGCGAGCAGCAGCTACAACATGGTGATCAGAGAGGACAACTCCACCAACCGGCTCAGAGAGTCCCTCGACCTGTTCAGGTCCATCTGGACCAACAGGTAACCCTCTCTTCTTTCTGATTGGCTCTAAACCCTCTCTGCTCTCTGATTGGCTGTAGTTAACCCTCTCTTCTTCCTGATTGGCTGTAGTTAAAGATAAAGATAAACTTTATTGATCCCTGTGGGGGAAATTTGTGCATTACAGCAGCTCCAGAAAACAGGGGACAGGAATATAATTATTCAAAATAAAAATAGAAGTTAAAAATCAAATCAAACATATTTACATCATTTAAATAAAAAAAATACAATAATGGAAAATGACACAGTAACTACACAGGAAAGAGTTATTGTTCTTAAAAACACACACAGTGTGTAGCAGGAGGTGGTGATGCTGTTAAACAGTCTGATTAAACAGTCTGATTAAACAGTCTGATGAAACAGTCTGACTTCAGATGGGATGAACGACCTGCGGTAGTGCTCTGTCTTGCAGGGTGGGTGTCTGAGTCTGCTGCTGAAGGAGCTGCTCAGGGCCCCCACAGTGTCATGCAGGGGGTGAGAGGGGTTGTCCATGATGGATGTCAGCTTCACTAACATCCTCCTCTCACCCACCTCCTCTACAGAGTCCAGAGGACAGTCCAAGACAGAACTGGCCCTCCTGCCCAGTCTGTTCAGTCTCTTCCTGTCTCTCTCTGTGCTCCCTCCTCCCCAGCAGACCACTGCATAGAAAAGTGCAGACGCCACCACAGTGTCATAAAAAGTCCGTAGCAGAGTCCTGCACACTCCAAAGGACCTTAGTCGCCTCAGCAGGTGTAGTCGACTTTGGCCCTTCTTGTACAGGACGTTGGTGTTGTGTGACCAGTCCAGTTTGTTGTTGAGGTGAACACCCAGGTATTTGTACGTCTCCACCCTCTCGATGTCCAAGCCCTGGATGTTCACCGGTGCAGTCTGGGGTGACTTCCTGCAGAAGTCAATCACCATCTCCTTTGTCTTGCTTGCACTCCAGTCGACAAAGTCCATGATGACCTGCCTGTACTCCTGTTCACTCCCCTTAGACACACACCCCACGATGGCTGTGTCATCGGAGAACTTCTGCAGGTGGCAGCTCCCAGAGTTGTAGCAGAAGTCCGAGGTGTACAGGGTGAAGAGAAAAGGGGAGAGAACTGTCCCCTGTGGGGCCCCTGTACTGCAGACCACCGTGTCAGACTCACAGTCCTGAAGCCTCACATAATGTGGTCTGTTGGTGAGGTAGTCCGTTGTCCATGCAGCCAGGTGACAGTCCACTCCCGCCCTCTCTAGCTTCCCCCTGAGCAGTGCAGGCTGGATGGTGTTGAAGGCACTAGAGACCCTCACAGTGCTGCCGGTGTTCTCCAGGTGAGTCCAGGATCTCTGCAGCAGGTAGATGCGTCATCCACCCCGATGTTCGGCTGGTAGGCGAACTGCAGAGGATCCAGATTTGAAGTCACCAGGGGGCGGAGGTTGTTGAGGACGATCCTCTCCATGGTCTTCATCAGGTGAGAGGTGAGGGCCACAGGTCTGAAGTGGTTAGGCTCCCTGGGGTGAGATGTCTTTGGGACTGGCACCACGCAGGACGTCTTCCACAGAGTCGGGACCCTCTCTAGTCTCAGGCTCAGGTTGAAGATGTGCAGAAGAACCTCACAGAGCTGGTCTGCACAGTCCTTCAGGAGTCTGGAGCTGATGCCGTCAGGACCTGTGGCCTTCCTCACCTTGATCTTCCTCAGCTGGCTTCTCAGTTGATCAGCTGTTATGGAGAGGCCGTCGGAGGAGGAGGAAGAAGAAGAGGGGGTTGTTGGGGGGTCGTCTGAGGAGGAGGAGGAGGAGAGGGCTGTTGAGGGGGGTGGCAGGGTACTCAGGGTACTCAGATGGAGTGTCTGAGAAGCGGGCTGGTCTGGGTGGGGGTGGGAGTAGAATCAAATCTATTGAAGAACAGAGTCAGTTCTTTGCCCACTCCCTGTCTCCTGCTTCAGGGCCCCTCCCACACCTTCTGCTGTGACCTGAGATGTTATTCAGGCCCCTCCCACACCTTCTGCTGTGACCTGAGATGTTATTCAGGCCCCTCCAGACTTCTCTTGCATTTTTATGTTGTAAATGCTCCTCCATCTTTGCCCGGTAGCTGGCTTTCCCCCCCTCTCTGCTCTCTGATTGGCTGTAGTTAACCCTCTCTGCTCTCTGATTGGCTAAAGTTAACCCTCTCTTCTTTCTGATTGGCTGTAGTTAACCCTCTCTGCTCTCTGATTGGCTGTACTTAACCTTAACCCTCTCTGCTTTCTAATTGGCTGTAGTTAACCTTAACCCTCTCTGCTCTCTGATTGGCTGTAGATAACCCTCTCTGCTCTCTAATTGGCTGTAGTTAACCTTAACCCTCTCTGCTCTCTGATTGGCTGTAGTTAACCTTAACCCTCTCTGCTCTCTAATTGGCTGCAGGTTTCTCAAGACAATCTCGGTGATCTTGTTCCTAAATAAACAGGACGTCCTTGCTGATAAGATTCTGGCAGGAAAATCTAAACTGGAAGATTATTTCCCTGAATACACAAACTACCAAGTTCCTGCTGAAGGTACACAACAACAAATACACACAAATCAAGGTGATGTCAGGGACTATTTCAGAGAGGAGACTCTCAGTCTAACTCTGAGGTGATTGACCTTCAGGTGGGAATCTTTGAACAGAACAGCTGATTTGATTTTCAGGGGGCGGGGGTACATACTTTACTCGTAGGGTCAAATTTCATATAAAGTTTGTATTTACATCAAATTTATTTTTTCCTCTAAATTAATTAAGTAACTTTTTGTTCTCTGTACCTGAGTGAACCTGTGTGCCTGTGTGTGTTTTTGTTTATTTTTGTTTGTTTGTGTGTGTTTGTGTGTTTTTGGGTTTTGTGTGTAGCTGTTCCAGATGCTGATGAAGACCCAAGCGTGACCAGAGCCAAGTTCTTCATCAGAGACGAGTTTCTGGTAATAAACCCCTCTCTCTGACCTGTCTCTCTCTCTGACCTGTCTCTCTCTCTGACCTGTCTCTCTCTCTCTCTCTGACCTGTCTCTCTCTCTGACCTGTCTCTCTCTCTCTCTGACCTGTCTCTCTCTCTGACCTGTCTCTCTCTCCTACTGTCTCTCTTTCTCTCTCTGACCTGTCTCTCTCTCTGACCTGTGTCTCTTTCTCTGACCTGTCTGTCTCTCTCTTCCTGTCTCTCTCTGACCTGTCTCTCTCTCTGACCTGTTTGTCTCTTTCCTCCTGTCTCTCTCTGACCTGTTTCTCTCTCCTCCTGTCTCTCTCTCTGACCTGTCTCTCTCTCTGACCTGTCTTTCTCTCTCTCTGACCTGTCTGTCTCTCCTCCTGTCTCTCTCTCTGACCTGTCTGTCTCTCTCTTCCTGTCTCTCTCTCTGACCTGTTTGTCTCTTTCTTCCTGTTTCTCTATCTCTGACCTGTCTGTCTCTCTGACCTGTCTCTCTCCTCCTGTCTCTCTCTCTCTGACCTGTCTCTCTCTCTGACCTGTCTGTCTCTCTCCTCCTGTCTCTCTCTCTCTGACCTGTCTCTCTCTCTGACCTGTCTGTCTCTCTCCTCCTGTCTCTCTCTCTCTGATCTGTCTCTCTCTGACCTGTCTGTCTCTCTCTCTGACCTGTCTGTCTTTCTCCGACCTGTCTGTCTCTCTCCACCTGTCTCTCTCTCTGACCTGTCTCTCTCTCTCTGACCTGTCTGTCTCTCAGACCTGTCTGTCTCTCCTCCTGTCTCTCTCTCTCTCTGACCTGTCTTTCTGTCTCTCTCTCCGACCTGTCTCTCTCTCTCTCTGACCTGTCTTTCTCTCTGACCTGTCTCTATCTGACCTATCTCTCTCTCTGACCTGTCTGTCTTTCTCCGACCTGTCTGTCTCTCTCCTCCTGTCTCTCTCTCTCTGACCTGTCTGTCTCTCTCCTCCTGTCTCTCTTTCTCCGACCTGTCTCTCTCTCTCTCTGACCTGTCTGTCTCTCTGACCTGTCTCTTTCTCCTCCTCTCTGACCTGTCTCTCTCTCTCTCTGACCTATCTGTCTCTCTCCTCCTGTCTCTCTTTCTCCGACCTGTCTCTCTCTCTCTGACCTGTCTCTCTCTCTCTCTGACCTGTCTCTCTCTCTCTCTGACCTGTCTGTCTCTCTGACCTGTCTCTTTCTCCTCCTGTCTGTCTCTCTCTGACCTGTCTGTCTTTCTCCGACCTGTCTGTCTCTCTCCTCCTGTCTCTCTTTCTCCGACCTGTCTCTCTCTCCTCCTGTCTGTCTCTCTCTGACCTGTCTCTCTCTCTCTGACCTGTCTGTCTCACAGAGGATCAGCACGGCGAGCGGCGATGGGAAACATTACTGTTATCCTCACTTCACCTGCGCCGTGGACACGGAAAACATACGTCGTGTTTTTAACGACTGTCGTGACATCATCCAGCGCATGCACCTGCGCCAATACGAGCTTCTCTGATTGGTTGTGGGAATCTTACCTGGTCCCGGCCACTATCAATGCTAATAGGTGATCAGTACAGATCACAATCATTTATCACTCAGCTAGTTATTTAAGAGTCTTTCCTGCTGTCTCTTTTTTGTATCTGGTGCAGGGGATTGTGGGTAATGTTGTTTTATGGAAAGGCATCACAGGATGTGGATTTCCTGTCATGACTACAGTCTGAGTCATGACAGGAAGTCATGAAGTCACCCCAGTCTTAGGGTGGGGGATGTAGACAATTTAATTATTTTTTTTCATGTTTTTTTAACTTAAAATAATTAGTTCATAATGATCTCTCCTTTGATTGGCTGGTCCTGACTGTGATGTCATTCTGTTTTCTCTCATGGGAACATTTAACTATGTACCTGAAAGATGAAATAAAGATTTATTTAATGGGAAGCTGTTGTGTTGTATTTTTTCACTTTTCACTTTGGTCACAGGAACATCAAAGTCTTCTTCAAGCGAGTTTTAAATCAATTTGTTTCTGATGCGTGTCCACTTAAATATAAAGACACAGGTGAGACAAGAGACAGGTGAGACTAAAGACACAGGTGAGACAGGTGAGATTAAAGAGACAGGTGAGACTAAAGACACAAGTGAGACTAAAGAGACAGGTGGGACTAAAGACACAAGTGAGACTAAAACACAGGTGAGACTAAAGAAACGGGTGAGACTAAAGACAAAGGTGAGACTAGAGACAAAGGTGAGACTAGAGACAGGTGAGACTAAAGAGACACAGGTGAGACTAAAAAGACACAGGTGAGACTAGAGACAAGTGAGACTAAAGAGTCACAGGTGAGACTAAAGACAAGTGAGACTGAAGACACAGGTGAGACTAAAGACACAAGTGAGACTAAAGACACAGGTGAGACTAGAGAGACGCAGGTGAGACTAAAGACACAAGTGAGACTAAAGAGACACAAGTGAGAATAAAAAGACACAGGTGAGACTAAAGAGACACAGGTGAGACAAAGACACAGGTGAGACTAAAGAGACACAAGTGAGACTAAAGATACAGGTGAGACTAAAGAGACACTGGTGAGATTTAAGAGACACAGGTGAGACTAAAGAGACACAGGTGAGACAAAGACACTGATGAGACTAAAAAGACAGGTGAGACTAAAGACACAGTTTAGACTAAAGAGACAGGTGAGACTAAAGAGACACAGGTGAGACTAAAGAGACAGGTGAGACTAAAGAAACACAGGTGAGACTAAAGAAACGGGTAAGACTAAAGACACAAGTGAGACTAAAGACACAGGTGAGACTAGAGACAAGTGAGACTAAAGAGACAGGTGAGACTAAAGAGACACAGGTGAGACAAAGAGACAGGTGAGACTAAAGAGACACAGGTGAGACAAAGGGACAGGTGAGACTAAAAAGACAGGTGAGACTAAAGAGACACAAGTGAGACTAAAGATACAGGTGAGACAAAGGGACAGGTGAGACTAAAAAGACAGGTGAGACTAAAGAGACACAAGTGAGACAAAGACACAGGTGAGACTAAAGAGACAGGTGAGACTAAAGAGACACAAGTGAGACTAAAGATACAGGTGAGACTAAAGAGACACAGGTGAGACAAAGGGACAGGTGAGACTAAAAGAGACAGGTTAGACTAAAGACACAAGTGAGACTAAAGACACAGGTGAGACTAAAGACACAGGTGAGACTAAAGAGACACAGGTGAGACTAAAGAGACGCAGGTGAGACTAAAGACACAGGTGAGACGAAAGAGACAGGTGAGACTAAAGAGACACTGGTGAGACTAACGAGACACTGGTGAGACTAAAAAGACACTGGTGAGACTAAAGACACAGGTGAGACTAAAGACACAAGTGAAACTAAAGAGACACAGGTGAGACAAAGACACTGATGAGACTAAAAAGACAGGTGAGACTAAAGACACAGTTTAGACTAAAGAGACAGGTGAGACTAAAGAGACACGGGTGAGACTAAAGAGACAGGTGAGACTAAAGAAACACAGGTGAGACTAAAGAAACGGGTAAGACTAAAGACACAAGTGAGACTAAAGACACAGGTGAGACTAGAGACAAGTGAGACTAAAGAGACAGGTGAGACTAAAGAGACACAGGTGAGACAAAGAGACAGGTGAGACTAAAGATACAGGTGAGCCTAAAGAGACACTGGTGAGACTAAAGACACAGGTGAGACTAAAAAGACAGGTGAGACTAAAGAGACACAGGTGAGACAAAGACACTGGTAAGACTAAAAAGACAGGTGAGACTAAAGACACAGTTTAGACTAAAGAGACACAGGTGAGACTAAAGACACAAGTGAGACTAAAGAGACAGGTGAGATTAAAGACACAGGTGAGACAAAGAGACAGGTGAGATTAAAGACACAGGTGAGACTAAAGACACAGGTGAGACTAAAGAGACAGGTGAGACTAAAGAGACACAGGTGAGACTAAAGAAACGGGTGAGACTAAAGACACAGACACAAGTGAGACTAAAGACAAAGGTGAGACTAGAGACAGGTGAGACTAAAGAGACACAGGTGAGACTAAAAACACAAGTGAGACTAAAAAGACACAGGTGAGACAAAGACACAGGTGAGACTAAAGACACAGGTGAGACTAAAGAGACAAGTGAGACTAAAGAGACAGGTGAGACTAAAGAGACACAGGTGAGACTAAAAGACAGGTGAGACTAAAGAGACACAGGTGAGACAAAGACACTGATGAGACTAAAAAGACAGGTGAGACTAAAGACACAGTTTAGACTAAAGAGACAGGTGAGATTAAAGACACAGGTGAGACTAAAGAGACACAGGTGAGACTAAAGAGACAGGTGAGACTAAAGAGAGAGGTGAGACTAAAGAGACACAGGTGAGACAAAGACACAGGTGAGACTAAAGAGACAGGTGAGACTAAAGAGACACTGGTGAGACTAAAGAGACACAGGTGAGACTAAAGACACAGTTTAGACTAAAGAGACAGGTGAGACTAAAGAGACAGGTGAGACTAAAGACACAAGTGAGACTAAAGAGACAGGTGAGACTAAAGAGACTGGTGAGACTAAAGACACAAGTGAGACTAAAGAGACAGGTGAGACTAAAGACACAGGTGAGACTAAAGACACAGGTGAGACAAAGGGACAGGTGAGACTAAAAGAGACAGGTGAGACTAAAGACACAAGTGAGACTAAAGACACAGGTGAGACTAAAGAGACACAGGTGAGACCAAAGACACAGGTGAGACAGGTGAGACAGGTGAGACTAAAGACACAGGAGAGACTAAAGAGACAGGTGAGACTAAAGAGGCAGGTGAGACTAAAGACACAGGTGAGACTAAAGTCACAGGTGAGACTAAAGAGACAGGTGAGACTAAAGTCACAGGTGAGACTAAAGAGACAGGTGAGACTAAAGAGACAGGTGAGATTAAAGACACAGGTGAGACTAAAGTCACAGGTGAGACTAAAGAGACAGGTGAGACTAAAGACACAGGTGAGACTAAAGAGACACAGGTGAGACTAAAGAGACAAGTGAGACTAAAGAGACACAGGTGAGACTAAAGAGACACAGGTGAGACTAAAGACACAGGTGAGACTAAAAACACAGGTGAGACTAGAGACAAGTGAGACTAAAGAGACAGGTGAGACTAAAGAGACAGGTGAGACTAAAGTCACAGGTGAGACTAAAGAGACAGGTGAGACTAAAGACACAGGTGAGACTAAAGACACAGGTGAGACTAAAGACACAGGTGAGACTAAAGAGACACAGGTGAGACTAAAGAGACGCAGGTGAGACTAAAGACACAGGTGAGACGAAAGAGACAGGTGAGACTAAAGAGACACTGGTGAGACTAACGAGACACTGGTGAGACTAAAAAGACACTGGTGAGACTAAAGACACAGGTGAGACTAAAGACACAAGTGAACTAAAGAGACACAGGTGAGACAAAGACACTGATGAGACTAAAAGACAGGTGAGACTAAAGACACAGTTTAGACTAAAGAGACAGGTGAGACTAAAGAGACACGGTGAGACTAAAGAGACAGGTGAGACTAAAGAAACACAGGTGAGACTAAAGAAACGGGTAAGACTAAAGACACAAGTGAGACTAAAGACACAGGTGAGACTAGAGACAAGTGAGACTAAAGAGACAGGTGAGACTAAAGAGACACAGGTGAGACAAAGAGACAGGTGAGACTAAAGATACAGGTGAGCCTAAAGAGACACTGGTGAGACTAAAGACACAGGTGAGACTAAAAAGACAGGTGAGACTAAAGAGACACAGGTGAGACAAAGACACTGGTAAGACTAAAAAGACAGGTGAGACTAAAGACACAGTGAGACTAAAGAGACACAGGTGAGACTAAAGACACAGTGAGACTAAAGAGACAGGTGAGATAAAGACACAGGTGAGACAAAGAGACAGGTGAGATAAAGACACAGGTGAGACTAAAGACACAGGTGAGACTAAAGAGACAGGTGAGACTAAAGACACAGGTGAGACTAAAGAAACGGGTGAGACTAAAGACACAGACACAAGTGAGACTAAAGACAAGGTGAGACTAGAGACAGGTGAGACTAAAGAGACACAGGTGAGACTAAAAACACAAGTGAGACTAAAAAGACACAGGTGAGACAAAGACACAGGTGAGACTAAAGACACAGGTGAGACTAAAGAGACAAGTGAGACTAAAGAGACAGGTGAGACTAAAGAGACACAGGTGAGACTAAAAAGACAGGTGAGACTAAAGAGACACAGGTGAGACAAAGACACTGATGAGACTAAAAAGACAGGTGAGACTAAAGACACAGTTTAGACTAAAGAGACAGGTGAGATTAAAGACACAGGTGAGACTAAAGAGACACAGGTGAGACTAAAGAGACAGGTGAGACTAAAGAGAGAGTGAGACTAAAGAGACACAGGTGAGACAAAGACACAGGTGAGACTAAAGAGACAGGTGAGACTAAAGAGACACTGGTGAGACTAAAGAGACACAGGTGAGACTAAAGACACAGTTTAGACTAAAGAGACAGGTGAGACTAAAGAGACAGGTGAGACTAAAGACACAAGTGAGACTAAAGAGACAGGTGAGACTAAAGAGACTGGTGAGACTAAAGACACAAGTGAGACTAAAGAGACAGGTGAGACTAAAGACACAGGTGAGACTAAAGACACAGGTGAGACAAAGGGACAGGTGAGACTAAAAGAGACAGGTGAGACTAAAGACACAAGTGAGACTAAAGACACAGGTGAGACTAAAGAGACACAGGTGAGACCAAAGACACAGGTGAGACAGGTGAGACAGGTGAGACTAAAGACACAGGAGAGACTAAAGAGACAGGTGAGACTAAAGAGGCAGGTGAGACTAAAGACACAGGTGAGACTAAAGTCACAGGTGAGACTAAAGACAGGTGAGACTAAAGTCACAGGTGAGACTAAAGAGACAGGTGAGACTAAAGAGACAGGTGAGATTAAAGACACAGGTGAGACTAAAGTCACAGGTGAGACTAAAGAGACAGGTGAGACTAAAGACACAGGTGAGACTAAAGAGACAGGTGAGACTAAAGACACAGGTGAGACTAAAGAGACACAGGTGAGACTAAAGAGACAAGTGAGACTAAAGAGACACAGGTGAGACTAAAGAGACACAGGTGAGACTAAAGACACAGGTGAGACTAAAAACACAGGTGAGACTAGAGACAAGTGAGACTAAAGAGACAGGTGAGACTAAAGAGACAGGTGAGACTAAACACAGGTGAGACTAAAGAGACAGGTGAGACTAAAGACACAGGTGAGACTAAAGAGACAGGTGAGACTAAAGAGACAGGTGAGACTATAGACACAGGTGAGACTAAAGAGACAGGTGAGACTAAAGAAACACAGGTGAGACTAAAGAAACGGGTGAGACTAAAGACACAGACACAAGTGAGACTAAAGACAAAGGTGAGACTAGAGAGACACAGGTGAGACTAAA